GCAGTAGCAGTAGCAGTAGCAACAACCGACTCGGAACAGGATTTTGCAGTGTAGAAGTCTGAACTTTAAACTAACCAAGATGGTGTGAAATGATGGCTCCACCTAATCCCATACCAGTCATGCTTTACCAGGGTACCAAAGGACGCACAAAGTGGCGCTCCCTATTGACATGCTACTCAGTCTGGGGATCTGGGTTCAGGCGATGTTACGACGAGCGCAAAATTCGGCTTCGCTTTAATGTGATGCATTGTTACGGACAACACTTATTACAATAAGACAGGAGGTCGAATGTAACCACTCTGACAGTCGATGTCTCCGCTTTTCCTTGTTTGAACCAATTGTACTCGTTCCGGTACGATCGTGTCGACGGTGTGCACCTCTTTGTCTGTGCAACCAAAGAGCAAAGCCAGCGCCAGCAGTGCAACCCGCGAGTCTTGGGAACCTGCCGCTAGCATCACAGCATCCATGGAACTGCGACAGCTCCATTTCGCATCTTTGCAGTACACATGACACGTCTTCTCTATCAGGATTGGTAAGCTCATCATCGATTTCATCGACAGCGTGACCATCCGGAGCACCATAGCCGCGACAGCAACCGCAAGCAGCAGCGGCGCCGGCACCAGCACCAGCCCCAGCAGGAGCAGCCGCAACAGCATCAACACTGTTTGTTATTACCAGAAATCGGATCGCCATCCTCCTCCTTTTCCTCCTCCTCCTCATCCCCGTGTCATCGCCACATTGCTTGCCACTAGCACCACCGCCAATCACCTGCAACATCACAATGATCACTAATAACTGTAAGATCATGACCACAGTAATATATAACAGGAATGATAAGAAGCATCGTCAGCCTCCTCATCAACAACAACATGATGCTCACAACAACATCTGCTTTGTCATTGCCATCAGCAGCCCTGACGAGAAAAAAACACATAAGCGTCAACGCCTGTAAAGGCGTAATTGATGCAAGTGGACATGTCGATCTTGTTACGTTTCTCAACCAGCAGCTAATGCCTCTCAATGTGATTGCAAACCGATTTCTCCTGGCGCTTTGTATGGCGAGTACCAGTATCATGAGGGACGCCACTTGATTGCGCTTCGCTTCTTAGGGGAGACCTCGCTGTCCGGTTTTAGTGCCTTGCCCGCAGCAAATGTAGCCCCGCGCAGCACCCCTGAACCCCACCTGCCTTGCAAGCTGTCCAAGGCCTTTCCGGTGCCATCACTGGCTGAGGTGGAGGAGACCTGGCTGGCTATTCATGCAGGACGGCACTTTCAGCTTTCAGCTTGCACCCCATCACTCCTGACATGTTTTCCGGTTCGGTGCGGAAGAAGCATGTGGACGTGCATCGCCCTCGTCCAGTCCGCAGCTGTCGCTGGGACGATGCTTGGAGGACGTGAGGCTTAAAAAGACTTGACTGGAGGGCTTGGGGCATCACAGCTTCTAGATGCACGTGCTTGGAGAGATCTAGATCAAGGCAGATGTGAGTTGCTCATGCCCTGCCCTAATGCATGTCAGGGTGAGTTGGTAGCTCACAGGAAATCGAGGCCCCAGGCCAGAGGCGCTGAGAAACACCTCCCTTGCGTGTGAAAACCCCGACTGATGTCAATAATGAAGATCATCCTTCCAGATTCCCCGAATTTGCAGACTGTTGTAGAAGTCTCCCTGCAGAACCTCGAGCTTGAACATCTTCACCAGGTCAGGCGGCCTGTTCAAGCGCAGCCTCTTCGTGGCTTCGATCTTGGACTTGCCTGAGTCAGCAGCCAGGTGCCAGTGGTGGCCATCTTTGGAGCAGAACACTCGACAGTGGACATGTTCTGGCATGTCCAGGGCGAAGGAGAGGCCCGTGAGGTACAGAGAATCATAAGGGAGCATCCATGCGATTGACCCAGTCGCCAGCTTGAAGGGGTTACGATTGCTGGCATATATCTCCAATGGCATCGGGTTTTCTGCCTGAAAATATCCAGTTGTCCGGCCAAAAACGACATTCACGTAGGAAGACAGAAATTGAGGCGGATGCCCTTCGGTTCCTGCCAACTTGTTGCAATCGTTCCACAAAGCCAGGAAAAGATCATCTTCGTGCACTGCCCCGAGGTATTCTTGCGTCCAATCCCATTGAGGCCCATATTCTGAGGTAAAGCGCGCAAGCTCATCCTTCATGCGGCCGATGTGTCTATCAATGATCGGCTGCAGCGGTGAGGGCAAAGTCCCTTCCTCACCAGCTTTTCGTTTCTTGCAGCTCCAGCCTTGCAACAGGACCTGCAGCTCGGCGTTCGTCATGCAAATGAGGCAGGGCTGCAGGATCTCCTCGAGCAGTTCGGGACTTATGCTCGGGCACTCTTTCAGTGCTTCTGCCGCGTGTACCCAAATCTCCTCCAGCGCCATTCTGCGCAAGTCTGACAGCTGGAAGCGGGCAGCAGCGGCAAAGAGCTGGCAGGCATTTGCCGGGCTGAGGCCCTCCTGGAGCGCTTCTGTGCAAAGCTCCAGGAGCCGCTTCACCTGGTACTTGTCCGCCATCGAAGACACTTCCACCAGCGTTTCGAGAGGACCCCGTACCACCCCCGAGTAGAGAAAACGGAGGAAGATCTCAACCGCTCCACTGGAGAAGTCGGAGATGACCACCTGGGCCTGCTGGCGCTCCAGAAAGCCCTCAGACTTCAACATCTTGTCAAAAACGGGGGACCAACCGGATAGCAACGAAGCCCACACCTTGAACTCTGCACGCTTGCCATCTGGCCTGCCACCGTCCCCACCTTCGGGCTCTTCCACCACCACGGTGAAATCGCCACCCTTGCCGAAGCAGTCCTTGAAGATGCCTGCAGCAAAAACGACGTCCTCTGCCATGGCTTGGTGCATGGCATGTAATGTAGAATATCAAATTCGTTCAAGTGTTCTTATACAGTCACACCTGCAGCTGAGGCTAAACCAAGACCCCTGCCGAAGCTTTCGCCGAACTCTCTGCGGCTGTACTGCCGCTCTGCGGAGCCGAGGCACAAACGTCCGTCTGGGGGGAAAAGACAAGCAAGGATTGGTCAGGCAATTGAGAAAACCGGGCCAATGCGTACAAGAATCAGCTCAAAATCCTCAACCTGATCTGTTGTGCAGATATAAACACGAGCATCACCACTGTCACAAAATGGCGCAAGAATCGAAAGGCGCCGGCTCCAAGCTCTACTGGAGCCACAAGGCCACAAAACCCCTACAGGATTTTTCAGATACCCTCCAAAGCGCACTCCTTGCACTTTACATCCAACCATTGCAAAACCCCGAACCCTAAACACACAAAAGGCTGCGTGCCTGGAGAAGCGCCAGGCCTGGCTTTGTCGGCATCACTTTCTCGAAGATGCCCTGGGCCTGAAACTGGGATTCGGATTTCGCGGGATCAGAGCTTACACACAAATTGTCACAAACACAGGTAAGCATCTATAGGTATATAGATGTATGCAACTATGTAACGTACTTACGCACGTATGTCTAAACTTTGGTCTCTAGCTGCGTGGCACGCGGCACGCGGTATCGCTCCAGCACTCATTCCTTGCTTGACGAAAGGCAGACTCAGGCCGGTCCTAGTCTGACTTCATGGAATGCTGCTCCCGACGCCTGCTTTTAGCTGTCAACCGTTTTGCGCCGAGCCGGGACCACGTTTGCAAAGACCCCCACTCCTGTTCAACCCCAACCCCACTATGCGACGCTTCGTGACAGGATCTCATGTTCGTTCGTACGCTCTGCCAACTCGCGAGTTTCAGTTTCAGCTTCGATCATCCTTCGCAGACTTGGGTGCAACTGCTGGTACAGGGCACTTCCGCACGGCACGGCACCGGCACATTACGGATGGGGCATCCCTCGCCGTGCCTCATCAGCCGGCGGCCACCCAATAACACGAAGTGCACTACGCACTCATCTACACTAGCTCGTCATAGATCGTGGCCCTGCAGCCAGACGATACCGCGAAGTGTCCTATAATGCATTCAACTACACTCGTCATACATCCACTGACAGTTGCAAAGCCATGGTTCACCAAGTCAAACAGTGTATGTACACACATACATACATACATACATACATACATACATACATACATCCATCCATCCATGCATGCATGCATGCATGCATGCATGCATACATACATACATACATATATGTATATATACTGTTATATTATACGCTATTGTATACAGAGTAGTCCAGGTGATATGGTGAATACCAGGTGTATATATATATACACACACATATACATAATCATATACCTTTACATATACATATACATATACAGATACATATACATACGTATATATATATATACACATATGTATATACATATTACATATATATATATATATGTAATACTGTTATATGATGTTATATTATAATATATCATATTAAACTATTCTGTTCTATTATGTTATATTATATTGTAGTGAGTTTTATTCTAACATATTATATTGTATTTTATTATATTATACAATACCATCTTATATCATAATATACTATATCGTATTATATTATATTACATTACACTATTATATATATATATATATATGTATGTTACATATATATATATATACATATGTATGTATATGCATAATATGTAAAAATGCACGCACACACACACATATATATATATATACACGCTCATACAGTTCAAACTATTGATATATGATGTTGATGTATATGTGTTGTTCGTGCTTCTTCTTGCACACTTCTTATTGGTGTTAAAGTCTTGCGGCCAAATTGTGGGATGGTATGCTTTGGGCGTGTCCCAACTCGAAAGCCAAAGCTCCGAAGATTCGGCGAGGCCCCCAGAACCTTTGATATAGAGGCCCGACTAATCAGAATCGGGGTTTTGGAGGTAGATTTTACTGCAAACAAGATTGGTATTTCATCTAGATTGCTTTAACCCCATCGCTCCCAGTTGAAATGACGATCTTGGGGCCTCCTCGTTTCCCAGAAGCTCCTGGGATGAATTTTGCAAGTCAGGGCTGGTAGGTTCGGAGTACATGTAGTTCAATTTTGAAGCGAGACGAATCATGATGACTCTCACTCGTGGCATGTCAACAATCTGTTGTGACGGTTCTCTGTACTCTGCATCCATGACTGCTCGTGTGATTACGAGTGTGTTTCGGATTTTGGTTCTGGTACTTACAGCAACTACTGCGGATTTTTTATCATGCTGCAGTCGCTTGGTGATTGCTATTCCCTTCTTCTTCTTCTTCTCATTCGTCTTACTTGTAGTCTTGTTGTTACCAATTTGAATACCGTTGCCAGTACCAAATACTGCTAATAATTCCGTGACTATCACTTTAATCACCACTACCACTGATGTGCTCCTTTTTGCCACTGCTATTTTGCTCGTCGTTGTCGTTGTCCGTGCTGCTGCTGTTCTTGATACTGCTCCTGCCCTTGCCCTTGCTCTTGCTCTTCTGTGGCTGTTGCTGCTGCCGCTGCCGCCGCTGCTGCTGTCGCTGTTGTTGTTGCTGTTGTTGTCGTTGCAGTCGTTGTCGTTGCGGTGGTTGTTGTTGTTGTTGTTGGTGGTGGTGGTGGTGATACTGGGACTGGCGGCGAAAGTGGTGGTGGCGGTGGTGGTTGCGGCAGCGGCGGCCTTATTTTCGTTTCTGTCGGTTCCGACGATGTCTTTGCTGCTGCTGTTGTGTTGGTGTTGCTGGTGCTTTTGCTGTTGGGGCTGCTGCTGTTCATATTGTTGTTGCGCTGTTGTAGCTGTTGCTGCTATTGATGCCGTTGCTGTTGCAGTTGCAGTGGCAACTGCAGCTGCTGCTGCTGCTGGTGCTGGTGCGGTGCTGGTGCTGGTGCTGCTGGTGCTGCTGGTGCTGCTGGTGCTGATGATGGTGGTGGTGGTGCAGCTGCTGCTGCTGCCGCTGCTGCTGTTGCTGCTGCTGTTACTGCTGCTGCTGCTGCTGCTGCTGATGTTGATGTTGCTGCTGCTCATAATGCTGTTGCTGTCGTTGCTGTTGCTGTCGTTGCTGTTGCTGTTGTTGTTGTTGTCGTTGCTGGTGTCGTTGTTGTTGTTGTTGTTGTTGGTGGTGGTGGTGGTGGTGGTGACCCTCCCCACCCCTCGACTCTACCCCCAACCCCCATGTCCCTCGCGATTCATCCTGCGTCTCCGCGATGGCATGCAGCTCCTCCTGGCGCGTCGTCGTGCGACTTTGCCAGTCCTGCAAACCGGTGCTTGACTTGGAATTTGTGGCGCTCCGGATGGCTTGAGGGCCGGTTGAGTCTTCGCATTTGAACCCATGCCTGCAAGAGTGGGAAAGACGTCGTTCTTGCACGTGCTGGCCGGCTCCCCTGCCCCTAGCATCCCTCGGGAGTCTTGGTGTCTCTCACGACCTCTCCCCTGCACCGGTGCACGACGGGCTTTTCCAGCAAACAAAGCGCAACGACTAACAGTCCTGCTCTTGCTGGGCGCAGCTCTCTTTCGTGTCGGCAAGAAATTGCGAATCCTCCTGCGCCATCAGCCCGAAGGGTAATATACATGTCAAGGCAGGAGGGCCAAAGGCTGCTGCCAGAATCCTAAACTGCTTGTGACGGGTACTGCAAGATGTGCTGAAGATGTGCAACTTGGCCGGCGAGGTGCTTAACACTGGACCGAATGCAGTGAGTGGCATTGCCTTGACCTTCTTGATGCTATCATCAATCGATGACTGCGTGTTGACCATGTCCACACTGATTTGGCCAATCCTGGCATAAACTCTATAGAAGCAGCACATGTCGTTGCCCGAGTCGTTCAATGTCAGAGCACTGAAACAATTTTTGCGATTTCAGGGCACTGCGCTTGCTGTTGCAAGCCAACCCAAGCTCAACGACGTCAAAGCTAAGGAACCAAAGGAGGTACAAGCAGTTGCAAGCTAGCGCGCCTGGTGGTTTTGGCCTCAATTTCCGTGTCCTCAGGCTGAGCAGATTAACAACGCTGTGCTTCGAATGCTGTGCCCACTATTATGTCTGTTCAATCGATACAACTTTAAAGCTTGTTGTTGGTATTTCTGCCGCCAGCACCACCACCGCCCAACACCATCACCTCGTCGACAGCGACGGCACAGCGACCGCTACTGACACTGCTGCACTCGTCCCTCGCCTTTCTTCTGCCAGCCGCACCCTGCCGCAACCCAGGCGGCCTGGCCTCCGTGTCCCCTCCATTGGCGTTCTGAAGGAAGTCGCGATATGACACGGCTGAAGCTGCTCATAGTTCATTCACGGGCCTGGGACTGGCCTTACTCTTGCTGTTGCTACTGCTGCCACTGCCATTACGACTGATGCAAGACCGCGATCATCGGAACAGTCAGCATGTCTATGTTCAGCAGCATCGCCATCATCATCCATCATCAGGACCACCATCGTCATCACCACCATCATCATAACCACCGCAGTCATCATGACCACCATCATCATAACCACCGCAATCACCGTCATCATCATCACCATCATCATCATCATCGTCATCACCATCATCAGCAGCATCACCATCATCATAACCAAGATCATCAAAAGTTCCGCCGATGTCACTGTCAGCATCTTGACCACCACCATCATCAACCTTCATGTTGAATGTTGGTATTGTATGCTCATGTGAACAAGTTGGTCTGCATGACACTAGTTTCTACACATGGCTAACGGCAATCGGTACTGTCCCTGCTATCATGCCCGTTCTCGTTATTCTACCAGTAGCAAGACCAGTGCGTCTGTGAGCTTCGGGCCAAGGTCGCCATTTCTGCTGTTTTCGCACGGGCCATGCCAAGAAAGGACTGTTGGGCCTGGCGAGAAAGGGTCGTCAGACTGTGACTCAGGTGCGCATGACTTGCGAAACAAGCTTCATAGTCACAGAGACTCAGGGC